TAATTGGCCCGGTTCTTGTTTGGTAGTAGCCAGCACGTGGCGGGAAAACACTTCATTTTTGGGTTTAATGTACATCTTTTCGAGCGTCTGGATGGCGTCTTCGTAAGTAGTACAATCACAAACATGTTGATAGACGGACGGAGAAAGAAAATTTACCAAAAGCTTTCTTTTGTCAACGTTTGGGAGTTGCATGCATGAGAGGAAGTTCGCAAACGTTTCGTGCCAATGGATCCATTGTTTTGAAGCAGAAGAGGATTGGGGATCGGCGTCAAATCTGGGCGAAAAGAAGAGGATTGGGGATCGGCGTCAAACCGGTCTGGGCGAAACAGTCGTTCCATTGTATTTTTAATTGATAGAAGATCAAATTGTTGCGCACTCGAATGATTGTGCCAGAAATAGAGAACGAGGATTGCCGAATGATTGGCTTTAATCTTCTATCAATTTCAGTACATCAGCTAAAACATTAGGAAACACAATTAGCTCAACGAATAGCGAGTAAAAAAGTTAAACACAACGTCAGTACTGCATAAAAACAGCCTGCGATCAGCACACAGCTGAAGCAATCGTTCCCCAGTATCCGCACGTACCGAGTCCAATCCTAATTGAGTTTCAGATACGCTAAGCCTGCCTACTTGTGCATTCAAATCTCCACCATGATATTTGAGCTTTTATCTCACCGAAGTATAACATTCAGGGCGTCATAATAACTATCTTTGACGGCGTTGGAGATACAGTCAGTTGAGCGCATGCAGACACGATGAACAGACAGCGATCAATATCTCCCTTGTGAGACTCTTCCACAGACGTTTTCACAAGGATGAATCGGCCTGGTAACTCAGGACGATACCAATCCCTGCACATACCGCCACAGCAGCCTCTGGATCACCAGAGATGCGCAGCCGAAATCGAGTGGAGACTGGTGGGGCAGTTAGCTCAATCACTGTGCTTGCATCTTGAATTCTAGTTTCTGAGACAGCACACATCAATGCCAAAAGAGTCCAGTGTGAGAGCAAGAACAGCTGCTTGCCTCAGAGTGCGAACATTGAAGGCGGCCAGATAGACTGTGTGTCGAGGCTTGAAGATTGATTTGGAGATACCTGAGGCGCCATGTGACGAGCAGATGCTGCACGTAAAACCGATGCATGACGAGTGGAGTCATCAGTCCTAAGTGCTGGGCCTACAAGGAGAGAGTTACTAATGGGGTGAGGAGAGGGGGAAGAAAAAGTATGTGAAATGTAAGAAAGGGAGTGTCAGAAGTAGCCTGTTTTCGCTTACCAGCCCTACTGCGAATAAGGCGGCCAGGCTGATGGTACCACGCGACGGCCGATGTAGCATGAGTTTGTTGGACGCATGTATCATGGTCGTACATGGGTCGAGATAATGTCAGGTTATGGGGCGAGATGGCCCAAGTGGTTAGATCGCGAATTGGCTGACCGGAAGATCTGTGTTTCGAATCCGACCTCTGCATCTCGACTTCCCCTGTCTAGGCTTGGGCAACCCGACAGCATCCCAACCCTCGTGCGTCTTATGGGTGGCACGGCAGTTAGTCGCCGAAAGGGTGCTACAGGTGAACGAATGTCAGGCTACCCACACCTAGACGGGAGGACGATTAGGGTCCTCAACCAAAGTCTTTGGCTCAAAAGCCTAACCGCAAGGCAGCGGTGTATGGCGGGAAATGCAAATGCATTACCATTTCTACCAAATGCTCCAATTCCCAACCTGGAGGACCAGGAAACTGTTCATCAGACTTCTAACCACTGACCAACCTGGTATGAGAGCCCGTGAGTGTCGGGGGGACACCCTTCCTCAGTATGGCTCAATGGGTCGCTGGGGTGCGCAAACCGTTGCACCTTCGTAAGGTCCAATCTCTTCGTGACGGATCGTTGTTCTGGGCGTCGGGGAAACCAATCACATCCCTCTAATGTGAACACGTTGGCTTGTTCAGACTTGGAAATTCAAATGTATCCAGCGTATGCTGGCGGAGTAGCGGTCACACGCTCGCTCCGCATGTCACTTGTCCGGAATTCAAACCGCAACATGGCCAAGGATATGCACTATTGATGAGCTGTAATAAGAGCCTAACTCGATTTCAGTGCTCCCCCCTTTCATGTTGGCTTACTAGGATAATTGTGCCAGGTCAGTAGGATGACTGATCAAATGAGAGTGATGGCGTGTATTCTACGTATCCTGCAACCACCAACAACAAAAATTAGCTGTGTTGAAAAGTTGAACCATTGTTGCCTGGTATTCATAATTCCATATGTTGGTGACTGAAGGAGATAAAACGGCAGTGATTCAAAAAGATCTCAACACTGTGCGTCCTCAAACCGTTAAATATGCCATACAGTCGAGGCTGCGACCAGCTGGCACCGTGGTTCCAGAGTGTAGGCCCGTAAGCCACGTGTAACGCTACGCCCTGGCGTAGTGGCTGGCATAAAAGCTTGAACCAGTATGAATGGAAACTTCTCGCCGCAGCCTCTTCAGTTCCATAGGTGGTCTTAGTTCTCAAGGTAAAAAACTATCGCTATGTTGCTTACCAGTGTGCCCTTCCAAGAAACCATCTACTAACTTCGACAGTACCTCCGAAACAATAAAATTGTGGTAGACTTACCAATTTGCACGCCAGAGTCGTTATTGCCGATGTTCACGGAAAGTGTTTATTTCAGCTTCAACTGGTAGCGGAATAGTTTACCAGTGGCATAACATATTTCCAAGGACTTTCAACCAAACATTAGAACATTCGGTCCTTATTGGAAGAGGTTGACCTATCAACGTAAATGTCAAAAGAAAGCCACCGGGTCTGTCCAAGGGGAGAAGGGTGGAACAGTAAACTCAGCTTCGTCTCCCTAGGTCAAAAACGCAAAATTCGCTACTTGGCGAACAGGGCGCAAATAATATACACCAGACACGTCGGATACCAAGATGTGTACTGTCCGCGAAACTTTGCCATAATTGGTACTCTGTCTGTTTTATCCATCAAAATATACCAAGATCAGCAAATCGTGGGACTCATACATGCAGACCTCACCATGGGCCGCCCTTTGTTGACCACTGTAGTCCGTTAAATCAGTAAGGCCGTGTCGTTAAATTATAGAGTATATTCGCAACAAATCAAAGTGGCTACACACAAGTAAGCATGGACATTGTTTATTTGATGATCATTTTATTTCATTCACTGAATTTTCAGTGCATCCGCCCCTCATTTATAGGTATTAGTGGTCGATGCCTCGTCGGAAAACTCTCAGGCCCCTTTGTACGGACAGTTGTGCTTTCTGGGAGGACGATTAGGGTCCTCAACCAAAGTCTTTGGCTCAAAAGCCTAACCGCAAGGCAGCGGTGTATGGCGGGAAATGCAAATGCATTACCATTTCTACCAAATGCTCCAATTCCCAACCTGGAGGACCAGGAAACTGTTCATCAGACTTCTAACCACTGACCAACCTGGTATGAGAGCCCGTGAGTGTCGGGGGGACACCCTTCCTCAGTATGGCTCAATGGGTCGCGTGCGCGCGCAAACCGTTGCACCTTCGTAAGGTCCAATCTCTTCGTGACGGATCGTTGTTCTGGGCGTCGGGGAAACCAATCACATCTAATGTGAACTCAATGGGTCGCTGGGGTGCGCAAACCGTTGCACCTTCGTAAGGTCCAATCTCTTCGTGACGGATCGTTGTTCTGGGCGTCGGGGAAACCAATCACATCCCTCTAATGTGAACACGTTGGCTTGTTCAGACTTGGAAATTCAAATGTATCCAGCGTATGCTGGCGGAGTAGCGGTCACACGCTCGCTCCGCATGTCACTTGTCCGGAATTCAAACCGCAACATGGCCAAGGATATGCACTATTGATGAGCTGTAATAAGAGCCTAACTCGATTTCAGTGCTCCCCCCTTTCATGTTGGCTTACTAGGATAATTGTGCCAGGTCAGTAGGATGACTGATCAAATGAGAGTGATGGCGTGTATTCTACGTATCCTGCAACCACCAACAACAAAAATTAGCTGTGTTGAAAAGTTGAACCATTGTTGCCTGGTATTCATAATTCCATATGTTGGTGACTGAAGGAGATAAAACGGCAGTGATTCAAAAAGATCTCAACACTGTGCGTCCTCAAACCGTTAAATATGCCATACAGTCGAGGCTGCGACCAGCTGGCACCGTGGTTCCAGAGTGTAGGCCCGTAAGCCACGTGTAACGCTACGCCCTGGCGTAGTGGCTGGCATAAAAGCTTGAACCAGTATGAATGGAAACTTCTCGCCGCAGCCTCTTCAGTTCCATAGGTGGTCTTAGTTCTCAAGGTAAAAAACTATCGCTATGTTGCTTACCAGTGTGCCCTTCCAAGAAACCATCTACTAACTTCGACAGTACCTCCGAAACAATAAAATTGTGGTAGACTTACCAATTTGCACGCCAGAGTCGTTATTGCCGATGTTCACGGAAAGTGTTTATTTCAGCTTCAACTGGTAGCGGAATAGTTTACCAGTGGCATAACATATTTCCAAGGACTTTCAACCAAACATTAGAACATTCGGTCCTTATTGGAAGAGGTTGACCTATCAACGTAAATGTCAAAAGAAAGCCACCGGGTCTGTCCAAGGGGAGAAGGGTGGAACAGTAAACTCAGCTTCGTCTCCCTAGGTCAAAAACGCAAAATTCGCTACTTGGCGAACAGGGCGCAAATAATATACACCAGACACGTCGGATACCAAGATGTGTACTGTCCGCGAAACTTTGCCATAATTGGTACTCTGTCTGTTTTATCCATCAAAATATACCAAGATCAGCAAATCGTGGGACTCATACATGCAGACCTCACCATGGGCCGCCCTTTGTTGACCACTGTAGTCCGTTAAATCAGTAAGGCCGTGTCGTTAAATTATAGAGTATATTCGCAACAAATCAAAGTGGCTACACACAAGTAAGCATGGACATTGTTTATTTGATGATCATTTTATTTCATTCACTGAATTTTCAGTGCATCCGCCCCTCATTTATAGGTATTAGTGGTCGATGCCTCGTCGGAAAACTCTCAGGCCCCTTTGTACGGACAGTTGTGCTTTCTGTCTGAAACTGGATGACAATCCACTTCTGGGGAACTTCACAAATAATGGCGAGTTGAAACTACACACAAACTGCATTGTAAGAGGAAAATTTTACTTTACCACTTTTCTAGTTTGCGGCAAGTGGCTTGTCTCAAGAGAAAGAAGAAGGCACTACGGACGAAGACTACATAGAGGGCTTTCATATCGATGCAATAAAGAGAGAGATCCGGCGAGGACGGTCTTTGATATGCTCATACTGCCGTAATCCTGGGGCTTGCGTTGGTTGTGTCATCAAGTCCTGTCCCTGCACTTTCCATCTTCCTTGTGTTTCTAAAGCCAAGGGAATAACAATATTTTCCAGTACGTTTCCCTCCTACTGTAGAAGACACGTTCCGAAACAGGTAAGTGCATAGACCGAAATTAATCGGCTGCAATGACAGCTAGGCACCAAAAGGGTGCTACAGCTGAACGAATTATATTATGTTATTTACAGTATTTCACTAGTTATGGAAGCTGTGATGCGTGCAACAAAACAGTTATTATTTTTCGTCTTGTATTGCTAGCTTCAATTAAATTAATTCCAAAAAAGCAAATCTCGTTCATGCATGTCTTGAGTAAAGTCATTTCGATGCCACCTGGGCGGTCTGCACATCTACAGCTTGACGTTAGAATGTGGAATTTGAATACCTTTTCTTACCACGTTACTGTTTCGAACCGATTTTCCTCTTCTAGGCGACTCTAGCTGTGCGCTAACTGTGCAGTTAAGTGTTTTCTGATAGGTGCAATTCCTTCGAAGCCGTGATGCCTCTGTTCAGTCACTTTCGAAAGGGTCATCCAGGGAGGCGTTTATTGTCCCGTCACTTGTGTACAAGTGCGGGAAGTAGCCCCACTAGTGGGATCTGCAGATAGATGCCCCTTATTCGGATACTCGTGATTGTTGGAACGAGATATATAAAGATGCACGCGGTGCAGCCCAGCTAGTCTCGTCTAAGTATTGAATCTCTTGGAAGACTGTGTGTGGTATTGTTGGAGGTCTGGAGCCCTCGTTCGCAACCACAATGCAACTCGGCGCATCATCGGACGGGAAAAAATTTTCGCACATGCAGACGAGGGGCATTCAGAAGGCCATAGAAGTAGCGGCAGCAATGAATACTGGGAGGGAGTCCATGTTGTCTCAGTTAATTCGCGCAACAGGTCCATCGAGCAGCTTTTCAGTGAAATCATCAAGAACCTCAATGACTTACCGATATCCTGTGAAGAACTGCATTTAGACCACCGGGCTGAATAGCTCCATCAACAGTTTGCTTGGTCTTCTATCTTTTCACATAAATAATCGATCTGTAACAGGATCGTAGATGTGGGGTCTTTCCCATCCTCAACTCCATATGAATCTATATCCTTCCGCAAGCGTCACCAAGCTTCTCATCCCGACTGACTCCTACGCGCTCCGTTCATGGATTTCGGTTTATTTCCCAATCAGTGTCTTTGTAAGTCCAATATATACAGCTGGAGACCAATTTTAAGGGACCAGATCCAGGTGGTTCAAAAGTTACGCAGAATAGACTTAGATTTCGTTACTGATGTGTGCTAGGTTGGATCTTATGTACATTACTTACAGTGGAAAACGCATATCATGGTTAGTAGACAGCAGCAACAGCCTCAGCCAAAGAATCAGTGTGCAAAGGGGAAAGTAGGGCATTTTCAATTCGTCTAAAGGTCCGATCTCTCACTTTATGTCGCTGCTCACGGTTGCATATTTAAAACTCCAGCGGATATTTTGATCAACGTTTTTGCCGTCGGGGACGAGATGGTTCAGTGGTTAGAGCGCGAATGTACTGACCGAAAGGTCCATGGTTCGAACCCGACCTCTTTCTCTCAACTTCCCCTGCCTAGGCTTTGACAACCTGGAAGTATACCAGCCCTCGTGCCTCCTCCCGGTAGCATGGCAATTAGGCATCGAAAAGGTGATATAGTTGGACGATTTTTTATTGTTGCCATCCGAGCTTTCGTTGATGCCAGCTGCCCTAGGAGTTTCGTTCCTTCACTTCACTGCAAACTATATCCGTATGATTCTGTGATAATTGTGTCCATTTTCAAAATGGGTATTCGCAGTGAATGTAGTAACGACAGAGCTGTCACTTTGACCCTTGTTATAGCAGGTCTTGTGGCTCCACATATTCTTCGACGTTTTACAATGGCACGCGAAACATTGACCCGTGAGAATCACGCAGGATCTCGACCGGGTAGAGACTGCGTCGACCTCATCTTCACAATCCATCAGCCGTTAAAGCAACGCGAAATATACAGGTGACCCACAATCTCGGTGTCCTTTGGCTTCAAAAGTGCGTCCGACTCGGTGAATCCCTCAACGCTCCTAACTGTGCCAGGATGTGCCCGGTAAATTTGTGAACATAATCCGGTCGCTATATTCCCCGACCTAAAGCTGCCACCTTGTCGTGGTGGTCGGGCTTGAGTGCTGCAATAATTCCGCGGGCTACACTAGCTGGAACATCGTTTCACAAGGTACAACCATGCCAGAAATGCCAAAGGGGAGCAGTCGGACCAAGAGCAGCGATACTCCGTACTACAAGTAATCGTGCTACGTGGCTTTCTGAATGAAAAGTTGTACTGTCCTATGCGGCAGGAGTGTGAAAGCAGTAAGGTGTTTCCTCCAGTCGACCAGCATGTCCATATTTATGGAAGCAGCGATGCTGCCTTTTCCCGAGGAAGGACGCGTTGGGAAAGGTCGGCCCCGAAAACCACATACTCCGACCGCCCAACGGTTGACCGTGACCGCCGGCGCATTATCCACTATGGTCGAAATACTTCTAAAACCAGAGTCCGGTGCTGCTTAAAAGGCACCTGCTGCGCGCTGGCGCATCAGGAATGAGACAGTAATGCCTTATTCTCTGGCCCTCGGGTTAGACCAACCGTCTGCAGCCCAGCAGGTCAGACTATTGAGTCCTGGCTCCGGGCAGAGTCCCCAAAGAAAGCCATACTGTCCACTTGTGGGTGGTTCAGACTTGAGTCAAAGGCTCAAGGTGGGGTACCTCAATGAAACCCCTTCCTCGGCCTGGGTAACCGAGATGTATCGTTTGCCAGCACAGTTCGGTGTCCACCGATACCCCTCCCCAGCTCCTTCCCACCACACAAGCAAGCGTCACTGGAGCACTCGACTGTCCATTATCTGACCGAAGGGCCTTATGCTCCTCGCTGCCTATTAACAATGAACAAAATGACACGCTTCTAAATATACGAGATCTTTTCCACACAGGAGCTTTCAACGTCCGTACTCTATGTCAAACTGGCAAGCAGGCAATACTTGCTGGAATCTTATACTCATAAAATTGATGTATACTGTGTCTCCGAAACACGCATACAAGACCCAAGCTTGATTATGCATCTCAGAACGCCAAGGATGAATTCAGCTCTTTAGCATTTCTCCCTCCGTATGTCCGGTGACCCAGAATCGATGACTCGTAGAATATGTGGTGTGGGAGTCGCACTCAGCCCCAGAGCTGAACGTGCCTTTCTGGATTGGATCATCATCATCGACAGCATGACATCAGTGTTCAACACCGATGCTTCACTGCCGTACAACCATGACTTATTTGAAAGCCTTATTGTAAAGAAAAGAGTAAAGGTGGACGGAGGAGGGACTTAGTGCTAGCTTAACACAATCATTCCGATGTGCCTACACATTCACACATTCACTCAGGCAATCTGGACAGA